TTTGGGAGAAAGTTCTAAAATTGGAGCAATCAGTACAAACATTCCATGGGGTTTCCATGGAAACTGAGCCACTTTTAGAAGTTTGCCGCAGAATTACCCCTTATAAATACCTAATGTGTATTTGCCTGTATAGAATAGCGGTACGTATTGCGTGTGATAACACTATATATTTCTTTCCTAGGAGTTAAGAAGAAAACAAAAGTGGTGAAGAATAACATAAATCCCATTTGGAACGAGGTAGGCTGCTCAGTTCTGACGGATAATACAGTGTTACTATTTTAAGGCCAGCGTAGCTCCCCCACCCCCTGTCTGTCTGCTTTCCATGCAGTTTGTATTTAGTGGCTTTGTGTTAGCCTTCCTTAGATATGCTGCCTGGAAGTGAATGCAGTCTGCGAGGAGGGCGACTGGCCCACGCCATGAGTGTTAGTGCATATAAGGAATGGAGCTCTGCATGTATAAACATTGATCCTTCAGTTTTTACAAGACTCATTCTTGCCCGGGATGTTTTCCCTGTTCATGCATTCCTGCTAAGGATGTGAAATCCTTAAGTGGTAGTGTAAAATCTCATACTCCCATTGTTCTCAGGCAGCCTGTGACTGAATATTGAAAGGTGATTTAATTCAGATAAGGAATGAGTTGACATTCTAGCCGAATTGTATGCACAGCAGCCTGAGTTACACAATCTTGTTGTAAACATTTCTCATGGCGTCATGGCTTGGCTGAGGATGGACTATATTGCCAGCAGTTTCATGACCCAGCTAAAAACTCAAGTTAGAAGACTGGGTCTATCCAGATCGTATTCAGGGGAATGGATATCTTATAAGAGATGATCAGGTATCTGACAGCTGAAATTGAATGCAATTGTCCTCATAGATGTAAATGTGAGAACAGGTTTAAACCTTATTGTAAAATCCAGCACTTGGTTGGTTTAGGACAAGGGTAGTCAACCTTCGGCACCCGAGATGTTGTGGATTACATCTCCCATGCTGCTTTGACAGCATAACTGCTTTAGAGCATTATGGGAGATGTAGTCCACAGCATCTGGAGTGCCAAAGGTTGCCTACACTTGGTATAGGAGTTGGTAAGAAGATCATCATGATGCCATAGACTGCTTCCCTCCTTCCAGTCATATTGTAATAATGTATCTTTAATTATGTAAATCCATTATCTGTTATTGTATGTGCAGTGGATTTATCGGAATGCATTTTATTTTATCCTTCTAAACGCGATATGGCCTCTAGCTACGGGAGACACTGCCAACTCCCTACTTTATTATGTTCCGAAGAAGAACTGTGAATAATTACGACTTGTCCCAGCAGTTTGCTGAAACGAACATGAGATTTCTGATTGAACTCGTTGGCGTTTATCTATGATATTCATTTGTTGCTGGGGCACGTTTCCCTTAAAGCTTCCTGGTCCTAGTCATTTCTTCTAAGATAAAATCCCAGGAAGCTGTGGTTTATTAACTAAAGTGTGAGATGTGGAGAACTGAAAATGTTTAGACCAGTGGTAGTCAACCTTTTTCTACCTACCGCCCACTAATGCTTCTTTCTTGATGGAAAAATTTCCCTACCGCCCACCAGTTTTCGCGCAAGTGCAGAATATTTTTTAGAAAGGAGGGTGTTTTAAAAAATAAATAAATGTACATACATTTATCTTTTTATTTCTACTTAATGCATGTTTATAATGTTTTTAACTTTATAAAGTTTAATGAGAAAACAATAAAGTAAATTGAAATTACCTTTACTAGTGATTAATGAGATCCTTGAGGTTGATGCTGCGAGATGAAATATTTGATATCTGGTTAGATTTTCGTAAGGAACAAACGAAGGTCTCCTCTTTCGGTGATATTCAGACGACTTCTCTGCAAATAATATGATTTCTCATCTGTGCGTCAGCTCATCTCCTCTCCCTTCTCAATTCCCCTCCCCACCTTTTTTTTCCTTTTTTCTATTTTTTAACCTTCCTTATAGCAATGCCCAGTAGGAAGGCTGAGCTAGGTAGCCCACTTACTATTACTTACTATAGCCCACTATAACAGACACACACAAGACACACATACAAAGACACATACATACAAACAGACAGGCACACATACACACACACACATGACACATACATACAAACAGACATGCACACATACAGACACACACACACAAACAAACACACACACACAAACAGACACACACACATAAGACATACATACAAAGACACACACATACATACACACATATATACAGACAGACAGACATACACACACACACACACACACACACACAAGACATACATACAAAGACACATACAGACACATACATGCAGACAGACACACACAACATACATACAAAGACACACAAACAAACACACAAAATATTTTAGTCACCCACTTGTTTCCAACCTTTTAGGTGCAGGAGGGTGACTTTCCCTGGGGTCCAGTGGTGGCTCAGGTGGATGGGAGTCAGAGTTTATACTCTGACTCCCTGGTCCTCCTCCCGCGCGGTTTGTGTGTTAGCTGGGAGGAGTGACGTGCAGTCACTTCCTCACAGCTTGTGATGTAACCACAGGGGGCCCTGTCGCACAGTTAAAGCGCTCAGCGCTGACCGGACCCCCTTACAATCCACATCCATCGGGTGGCCCTGACAGCATGGGCCACCCGATGGACCCCTTGGACGGCGGTTTGGGGCCGCAAATGGCTCGCACCCGCCCTCCTGCCCACCCAATATCTCAAAATTAGGAAATCCCTACCACCCACCTGGAGTCCTGAAACGCCCACTAGTGGGTGGTAGGGACCAGGTTGACGACCCATGGTTTAGACCATTCTCCAGGTTCCAGGCTCCAGGTTCCCGAGCCTCATTGAAATATTTTGCTGCAATTGTGGCTACCATCTCTGCTGGAATGCTGTTTACGGCATCTACAAACTCTCTATATATATTTATATACACACATTTACCATACAATTCTCAGCCCCCATATTCATGTTGTGTCTTTTTGTTTTAAAGTGATAGTACAGCCCCCAAAACAACTTTAGCTTAATGAAGCAGTTTTGGTGTATAGATCATGCCCCTGCAGTCTCGATGCTCAATTCTCTGCCATTTAGGAGTTAAACCACCTTTGTTTCAGTTTTTTTGCAGCCCTAGCCACACCTCCCCTGGCAGCCTGCATGAAAAAAAGGTTTCATTTTCAATCAGAGGTTAAATTATAATTGTGTATAAATGTATAGAGTAGTGGATTCTGGAATCATTGCTACTTGTACAGCTTTACACAGCTGATTGTTATCAGAGGTGATTATTACATTCTTGATCTATTTTCTGTCTCCTCGCAGGGTTTTGAATGGGATCTAAAAGGCGGTCCTTTGGATAGTAATTCTGAGCTCACTGCCGTTGTGAAAGACCATGAAACGATGGGAAGAAATAGGTAAAGTGACACCTTAATAATATAAAATAAGGGGGACTCTGGGCTAATTTGCAGATTGATGTGGTTTTGGTTTTTAGACGTCTACACAGTATTTACCTATATTTGACACTTTCTTGGCTTTCAATAGTTCATGGAAGCTTAGGAATGTATTAACCAAACTGTGGATTGTGGAAAACTTTCACGATTAAGGCAAAAATATCTCAGTTGAAAAATTCCAAACTGCTGAGATATTGTGGCAAACATGCCTATGCCACAAGCTCTTGGAGGAGCCAGCTAGCTAGCCTCCTGCCCAAGGCCTATGGGCTGTATTCATAGTTCCCATTCAGGAGTTAACCTGCCCGGCCTCCCCAAGCAGCTTTCCCTAGGTGCCCCTGGTTCGGGACGTTCCCATCTTTGGAACTGAACCGAACACTAGCTCCCTGTCGGCCATTTGCATGAACCAAAGCCACGAATGGTCCTCCGCCATACTTAGCCATGACAGATATGGAACTTACTTCAGCACGAGGACTTCGTAGGTCCCCAGTCACCTCAGTGGTACTTAGCCGCAAATATTATGGAATTGTTTTCGGCATGAGGTGACCGTGCGGTTCCTGGACAATTGCTCCAGGTTTTGAGGAGAGTTTTAATCACTTGAACCTGGATCCAGGGCCCTGTTCCAGAGTGGGAAGCGATGGCGAGACACCGACCAAGTTGCGGCGGCTAGGGGCTGGAGCGCTGCTGGTGTCAGGGTAGCAGGTGATAGTTAGCGAGCTGGCTTGGTGTCAGGATAGCAAGTGGTGCGCCACAGATATATTTCATGTAATGTTATAGATCTGGTAAGCAATAGGAGATAGTAAATAAACAGACCAGACCACACAGAAAAGACAAGATATTTATATAACTTTTAATAGACTAGTCCATGGTTTATTTAAGAGTAAGGAACATAGCAACCATACCACTATCAATAACTAATTATCCAAATAACACCCCCTAAAGGAACACTATTGCGTTAGGTATACAAACCTGTATGATTGCCCCTGTCCCTAGTTCTTAACAGGCCCCCCCAATTTTCAGTTTTGGCGCTGCTCACCTTTCTGACTCCAGTGATGTCATTGAGTAGGCAT